GCTTTTTCATTAACCAAATGAGCATATGTACTTAATGTACATAAACAAAGCTCATGCATACCCAAAAAATATGGTTATTTGTAGACAAAGTTGCTACAGTTCTATCTAGATTGTAACTGCAGCAACCTAGACAGAATTTCCGGCTAGGTTGCTACCTAGACGGAATTTCAATATCCGTCTAGGTTACTTTCCGTCTAGTTTGATCAACCTAGACGGATTTCTGTCTAGTTTGTCTCAAACTAGACATAAATATTCTAGACGGATTTCCGTCTAGGTTGATTAACCTAGACGGAATTCGGAGCAACCTAGACGGTTTTTTTGTTTAGGTTGCACGTTTTTCTACTAGTGTTTGAACAAAGGTTGTGTTTTCTTGGTGTCATAGTGATTCAAACTTCAGTTTTTGTGTCCTTGTTCTTAGTTAGAACTTGTATATGAATAAGATCAATGCTAATTTTATGATTTCACAATCGTAATACATATCACCTCTTTAATTTTAAGAAAGTTGCAAATCTAGAACTGTTAGAATATAAAAATATAATCCTCAATTCTTATCATAACTTCAGTGTTTTAGTGTAATGGTTAGAGAAATTTAATTTAAGATGGTGTTGATGGTTTAAATAACACAGTTAAAAGAGGAGGAGGGTAAGGATTGGGTTGATATGGGGCCGCTCGCTTTTTCGAATATCTGATTTGGAGTTGGGTTGTTAGTCCCTACACAAACTCCCAATAGGATGGGGATTGATTCCCTCATTGTTCCTCCGGTGATCAAGCCAGCTAGGGGCTTGAGTAGGAATATGAGAAAAATACAACGGAATGAAGAAAGATGCTGAGAAATTACTTACCATTGTATTTGGAATAGTTTTCCTTTTTATAGCCAAACAAGAGGGGTAGTCTAGTCTTTTTGGCTGAGCCTGAGCTGGCGGCTGAGTCAACATCTACTTTACAGGTGTCAGTCATGGATCTACTGCGTGATGGGCGCTGTCATTTCGCCATTAATGAGATGCGATGGGTGGCGCACGAAGCCGACATGGTCCGATGTGTCATAAATATTGTAGGGGATGGAGAAATGATGACGCATGGTAAGCATTTAATATGACACCAACGCGCTGTCAGCGGGGGTGGTTCGAGGTAGAAGTCGTACTTTGGCTTGTAGCGAGAGGTGTCGAGAAGTAATGCCTTTCGAGTCGACTTTGCGAGATGTCAAATAACTGGTCGAGTGGGCTCGTAGCGAGTCGTCTTCGACAAGAGGACTGATAAGTACCGCCCTTTGAGTCGACCTAAGGAGATGCCAACTCGACGAGTTAGCTAAGTCGGGATTCTTGGTGGTCCTGACCGTCAATTCGATTTTGAGCGGTGCATGTATTGGGACACCTGTTCGTTGCTGGCAAAGAGCCATATTTTGGTGATTGAAAACGCCACAACAAATGATATTAGAGCAACTCAGATGCAAAATCCAACTGACCATGAATTTAAAATGAATTTTCTAGAAATTAACATCGTTGTATGAGCTCTATTGTTCAAATTCCAAAAATGCCCTCAAATTTAGAGAGAAGATGCCCTACCACTTGAAAAAAAAAGAACAACAAAAACTCTCTTACACAGCAATTACAGCACTTCCCTAAGGCCCCGTTTGGTATGCGGGAATGAGGTGAAATGAAATGTCATTCTCACTTCTCATACCAAACAAAACTAGTTTTTAGATGTTGGAATGACCATTCCCATGGAATGACCATTCCCACTTTTTGTGAATGACCATTCCCATGGAATGACCATTCCCACTTTTTGTGGGAATGAGCATTCCAAGTGAGAAGATAGGGAATGATCATTCCCATCACTTTTTGTGGGAATGAGCATTCCAAGTGAGAAGATAGGGAATGATCATTCCCATTCAAGGGGAGAATTAAATTAGTTAGTTTTTTTTTCAATTATACCCCTATTAATAATAAGAATCAATTTAAAAATCATGGCTTTTGACTACGTATTCTCATTTCCTCTATGTTTTTTTTAGGCTCCACCGAAACAAATTGCTTTATATGGGACATTATATCTAACTAATAAGAATGTTTGGGTGAGGCGATATGCAAGTGGGCAATTTTAGATTGGCAATTTAGGCTAGTATATCATTTTTCTATTTCGAAACTTATTATTTTAGTTGGTATTGTTTTATGGATTTTTTTATTATGATATGGGACATTATTGGTACTTTATCAAATGAGTTAATTTATATATCTAGAACTGTGGATTGTGGAAATCATTCTTTATATTTTTTTGGACCTATGAAAGACGCGATAATCTTTTATTTAATTTTTTAAGACTAAAAAATAGTGAGAATTGTTTAAAAAATATAAACGAAACATACACCTGATCGATAACATACGCATTAGTATAACACATACCTAGATTAATATGACATATGCATAAATAATCTTTTTTAGTTATTATCATTAATATTTATTTTTATCTTATTAAAAATCTATGTTGTTATAGGGTATTATTAGAAAATGAGATTTTATTCTCACTTGTGAACTAGTGATACCAAACATGGGAATGAGAATTAGATATTATTAGAAAATGAGATTTTATTCTCACTTGTGAACTAGTGATACCAAACATGGGAATGAGAATTAGATTTTCATTCTAGCTTCATTCTACAAACGCACCCAAACAAGAGAATGGGAATGACCATTCCATTCTCACATACATTCTATTCCATTCCATTCTCACTTGACTTCATTCTCACGTACCAAACGAGCGCGTTACATTCATCGAAACGCTAGTGATAATGTAGTTTGACAAATCATCAAAAATAGATTTCTCTTGTTCTGTGAGAGCTATATATTTTTCAAGGATTAAATGTTTTTATTTTACGCTAGCGATATGTAGTTTGACAAATCATCAAAAATAGAATTCTTGCTTTGCGAGAGCTAGATATTTTTCAGGGATTAAATGTTTTAATTTTATTTTTCCATTTCATTTTAGGTTGACCGATCTAAAACTTTCGTATTCGCTCAACTGCATTGCTCCGATTTTAGGTTATTCGCTCTAAGTGTATCGCTCCAATTTGAAGTAGCATTGTAAGATCTAATAAAAAGGGGAAAATAAATTAAAATAAAAAATGCTTATTTTCAGAAATTAAAATGGGGCATTCCGAGAATTGAACTCGGGACCTCTCGCACCCTAAGCGAGAATCATACCACTAGACCAAATGCCCGTTGTTGCGATCGGCGAGAATTTAATTATAAATAATATATATATTAAAGTCAAGTTTAGTCCCCGATTACTCGCGGTATAAATTGCTGCGAGATATTTTGATTCCCCTTCGCGAGATATTTTCAAGGAGGCTGCTTGCTTCCTCTTCGTTCTTCTTCTAGGGTTTCTCAAAGGTTCGATCTTTTCCCCTAAATCTCTTAATTCTTCTCTATTTCTTTTGATCTCATAATTTCGATCTAATTTTTTTATTATCACCGACTGTAAAATTTACACTTCTTACCCTATTTTTCGTTTTTTCATAATTAAATTGCCGATGGAATCGATCTGTGAAAGCTTAATTAGCATCTCGTTGGTTTTGTTTACATAGTTGTTTTGAACGGAGACTGTTTGACTGATGATTATCACCACATTAAGGGCATACTTAATTATATTATTCTCTTAATCAAGTTGAAATAGACACAAAAATCATACCTTTGATGATTAAGCCAAACAGTCATAAAGATCTGATTTTGGTCTATTTCAACTTGATTAAGAGAAGAAGCTTTACATTTCCGCGGTCACTGCCAGCAAATGATGAAGGGAAAGCAGCTATCTGATTCATATAAGTTACTGAGCGTGATACTTTATTGAACTTTTTGTAATTCTAGTAAATTATAACTATTATTTTCCACGCAATATAATTTAATTTTTATTTTTAGTCTGCATTCATGAGTGTCATTGTTCTGCTTTCGAACAGTTTTGCTACTAATTTCATAAAGTAGTGTTGGGGCAATGTGCAATCTGTAGCAGGGATCCAGAATAAAGAATGTTCTGATGCGTGGAATGTTTTTCCCCCTTATAAGAAGTTGTTCTGAGTCCTTTAACCCTTAACTTTATTAGAAAAAAAATGAAGAAGGTAAATCGACTGGGTTCATTTCACTGTCGTATTCTTTACTTGCATTGCTAGTGAATTTTATGAGATCTAAACATCTGGAGTCTTAAACCTTTCACTTTATATAGAAAAAGAGAAAAAAGGGTGTATTGAGATTGACTGTAACACACTTTAGTAGATTCCATGAGACTTACACCTTAATTAGATGCGTACATACAGCTGGATTTATGTTCCCAAAATGTATTAAGATACAATTTAAGAATTTATGATTTATGAATTATGAATATGACAATTCTAATCTATATATTTGAGGTGCTTTTAAGCCTTGTATATTTTAATGTGGAAATTGCTAGCTCTATTGCAAATACTTGACTATGATTTGTCATGTATGACTACTTTCAGAATTAATTTTTGGACTTTCCTTGTGAAATTTTGCTAGAAAGCCCCGTATGTTACTTTGTTGTTCTACCTTTTGCGTCTACAAATATATGAGACTACTACATGACTTCCTAGAGACTAAAAATTGGTGCATAGTTCTACCTACGAGTCGAAATGAACCAAATAATTAATAAACAGTTCGGTTATTATTTCCAGATTTTCGGTCATATTCGATTTGATATTTCATAACATTAAATGAATACTTTTTGGTATTCCGTTCATAAACGAATACAATTTAACTGGAGGTATATTTGATTTGTTTGATTATTAAATATTCATTTATGTTTTTCTACTTTTACATTACTATATTGCATCATCTTTTATGTGTGCATAACATTGTCAGTATTGCTATTTATAAGTAGTATTATTGTTAGATTAATGATTAGTGACCACAGTATAAAAATTTCTTATTGTGAAATATCATAATAATTATTAAATGTTAACCAGAATAAATAAGAAAATACTCCAAAACATAGGGTTTGAACTCATGACCTCATGCTCAAGAAACCATTGACTTACCAAGTGTGCTAATGAGATATTTGTGAACTTTTAACAAATATTTGGGTATAACAGAATCAAATTTGAACACTTATTTGGTATTTGACTTAAATTCGAATTCATCAAAAATAACTAAATTCAAATCTGAATACCATGGTATTTGATTCGGTTCGCTTCCACCCAGTCCTGCCCTTTTATTGTTGTCGATGGCTTATGTTTTTTTATCATCATATTTCTAATACAATTGTTTGGTTTGTTTATATAGTCTTTATACTGACTTACAATAATACCCTTGTTCTATTATCCCTTGATTAGGGGACAAGGTGACTTACCCTTTTCGTTCAAATTTTAGTTGACGTACCAACATGTTCTCCTTACAGATAATATAATCAATATGCTTTCAGTATTAGCTTCTTTCAGCTGTTTGTGGAGTATTTCCTATGAATATATACTTATTAAGTTTAATCTGTCTTGTTTAGTTCAAACATCAAAACGATACGACATTGTTGATATTTCAGTGAAATATTCTGATATACAGTTAATTTATGTTTTTGTATCCTGTTGCTAAATTCTTCCCCATTTGCAATTTTCTTTGTATCCTTGGAATTTGATGATTTAACACGTCATGCCATTTCTTTCAACTTGCTAGCTAAAAACACTTCCATTTAGTATTTATTGCCTTTAATTTGATGTGACATATTTAATTATCTTGTTGAATCTGATGATTTGACCTCTATGTGATTTCTTTTTAAATTAGAGTAGCCCAAAAAATATTGTGAAAGCTAAGGAGTATTTCCATTTAGTATTTAATGCCTTAATGCCTATTTTTATGTTTTTCTTTGCAGTTTAATCATGGGGGATGTGGAGTACCGCTGTTTCATTGGAGGTCTTTCTTGGTCAACCAAGGATGATGATTTGAGATATGCATTTGAGAAATTTGGTCGTCTGTCTGAGGCGAAGGTAAATGGGATTATTATCATGATGTGTTGTATATGCCGTTGACTTCATGAACTTTTGTTTTGCAAATTTTTGCTTAATAGTCTGTCCAGAGTCACATTCTGTATATGTTTAAGGCTTTAACTCTAATTTTTGACTGAATACTTGTAGGAGTCACATTTATTCTTATTCCATCTGTCTGAGGCGAAGGTAAACGGGATTATTATCATGATGTGTCGTATATGCCGTTGACTTCATGCACTTTGTTTTGCAAATGTTTGCTTAATAGTTAGTCAGTCCAGAGTCACATTCTGTATATGTTTAAGGCTTTAACTCTAATTTTTAGTGAATGCTTGTAGGAGTCACATTTATTCTTAGTCCTAAGCAGATTACTTTTACCATTACTCTTCTTATGTACGTGCATGTGCATATGTTTATCCTTATAAATGTAACATATTGCATGATATCATCAGTTCTATGCTGACTTTTTTGGGTAGCTTGTTAGATTCACAATAAGTTTTTTAGTCTTCTAATCATTATATCTAAATTTTAGGTTGTTGTTGATCGATTTTCTGGCCGTTCTCGTGGATTTGGCTTCATAACCTTCGATGAGAAGAAGGCAATGGAAGATGCCATTGATGCAATGAACGGAATTGATCTTGATGGCCGATCTATCACCGTTGACAAGGCTCAGCCTCAAGGCTCTGGGGGTGGTGGCAGAGACCGCGATGGAGGTGATCGTGGCTATGATCGTGGTGGTCGTGATCGTGATCGCAGCAGTCGTGACTATGGCGGCGGAGGAGGAAGAGGTTCTGGTGGCGACTGCTTCAAATGTGGCAAGCCCGGGCATTTTGCTCGAGAGTGTCCAAATGGTGATGAGGGTAGTAGAGGAGATAGGTATGGGGGGAGGGAAGATAGGTATGGTGGTGGTGGTGGAGGTGGGAGTCGACATGGATCGGATCGCAATGGGGATCGATATGGTGGTGGTGGAAAGAGTAGGGATGGAGGGAGTCGTGGTGGATCGGGAAGTGATAGATATGGTCGTGATCGATCTGGACCTTATGAACGCCCTAGTGGTGGAGGGTATCGTTCTTGATGAATTGTGCTTCTGCCTGGAGGTATGAAACAATGGTTTCTTTCAAGTTATATTTTGGGTAAATTTCACAATTACCCCTAAAACGTGTTGTTGCTTCTCATGGAAGCCCCCCCCCCCCCCCCCCCCCCCCCCCCCCGCCCCGAACTTGTGTTTTTTCTTACTAAACCCCCCTTACTTTTCCCACGAAACCCCCAAGTTTTAACACAGTTGCTTGAATCATAATATCCATCCAATGATAGTTGTAGAGATCTGTGTAATGGTGCTTTAACAACAAAAAAATCTCCTTAACTGAATGACTTTGGATGAGGAAACCATCTTGCAACTGTTAAACCATAATTTTGATAAAATTTTAATGTTACAGTCAAGATTCAGCAAATAATATATAAGATCTGAAAATTTTAAACGAGTAAAACAAGAACTGGGTGCTCCAACCTTGACTTGTGGGAGGAAAAATAAAATTGGGAGTTTCATGGGAAAAGTTAGGGGTGTTTAGTGGAAATAAAAAAATTCAAGGAGGTTCCTTATGAAATTGCCCAAAGTTTGGTATTTTTTCTAATTTTGAAATTTACTGTTATATGTTTATGATTGATTTGTTAGTCAATATTTTTTTGCTGATTGATGCAGCCATGGGGAACTGGAGCAGAATGTCCTGAAGCCAATGGGTGGCGATTCACAGACCATGTCAAAGATTGGATGGATGCCACTGTTTCAGTTTTGGCTATTATGATCTTTAGACTCGTGTGATAAGTTAACTTGGTGCTTTACTTGTTTGACTTGCTACCTGGATTTCGTTCTATTAATCTCTGCATAGTGTGGTGCTTGACTTTGGTTTATATGGCTAGCAGTACTTTATTGTGCCCTTGGATTTTTGGTTTGTTCATATATTTGGATGCCTTGAGTATTTATGGGGCGCTATGCTGTGGAGTTATTTGGGGCCGTCAAATGTTTTTTGACCACTTGAGATTTGCCAGAAATGTAGAACAGGGTCACCTCGGCTTTTGCTGATCTTGGAAAAAACAGATTTAAACCGACAGCATTGGCGTGGGGAGTCCTGGGTAAAGTTTTAACCTTTTTAGCCTATGAACCATGGGCTTTTTTTTTGAAAGATTTTAATTGCTTTAATCTTTTGGCAGGCTATGATTGGCCTTTGTGATTTCTTTATTCATGATATGGTTAATATCCGCTAAAACCGTCCATTGATTGAGCGCCATCCTTATGCATCACTTCTGGCACAAAGAGTTGCATCATGCATGTGCCCTTTATTGTTTGTGTTGAGAACTCACTACAGCTTCAACAAATACCGTGGCCTTATGCATCACTTCTGGCACAAAGAGTTGCATCATGCATGTGCCCTTTATTGTTTGTGTTGAAAACTCACTACAGCTTCAACAAATACCGTGGCTTCCTGTTACCGACTTGTTCTTCACTAGAAATATCTGTTCTTTCTGTTTTGAAATCCTCAGTCTAAAACTGGCTCTTTTGTCCTGCATCTTTCTGCACTACCTGGAGGTTATCTTGCTGCCTGTACAGTTTGGGTCGAGAGCTTCTAACAGTTTTCCAAACATTACGGTTTAGTGTTCCAATAGGTTATATGGATGTTGTATATTACAGATATATGCATATAATATTATGCAGGTTTTGCATGTTCCTCACATTTTTGTAGAAGTTCCGCTTATATGTTTTTAAACCCTTTATTATACTGTTGATTTCAATGAAGGTATCCTGCTCGTTATGCCTTCTGGATTCGGTGCAACCTCATTTACACTTCTGCTGTTTGCATCTCGTCGACATTTGTTTACTTTTCCTTTTTTGGTGTCTGAAAACTGTCAAGGTTCTCATCTGTAGATCTGCTTTGTTGAAAGTATGCATGTTGTTGGCATCGTGCTTATGTTAACTTTGTGTCTATAAATGTATTTAGCTGTCTATAAATTGCACCCTGTGTGTGTTTTCTAGATATGCTTCTTTGTTCCTGGGTCCTGATAGGTTTATGTGTTGTATTTCTATTGATCTCCATTTGATCTTTGACAGACATTCAGTTTCAAGATAATTTATGAGATATTCTGAAAATTAGTTGTTCTTCGATGAAAGCGTATTTTGCAGGCTTAATTTAACATGTTTCTAAGTTTTTTAAGTTTAAGTTTTTCGTTATCTGGTTTTAAAACCCTCAGCATCTGATTGTTTGGAAATGTTCTTTTTATTTAGAATCATAATATTTAGTGCTCTGTTACTAATATGCATTCAACAGAATTCAGATTTTGTGAAAAGGCCTTGAAAAACTTTGTACTCTCTTGTTTTAATAACCAGCTCTTTCTCTACTTTTTCTATTTTATCAAATTTATTTAGTTTCATGGTAGTTTTAATAACCCTATCTATCGGAGGTAGGCTGACACTTCTGAACTCTGTCCTCTCCTCCATCCCTCTCTATTATATGTTTTTTTAAGCTGCCAAAATGGGTTATAAAGGCCATTGATAAAATCAGAAGAAACTTCCTCTGGAATGGCAGCCACAGCTTCTCTAGATCTAAATGCCTTATTAACTGGGGCACAGTTTGTAAATCTAAAGAAGAAGGAGGGCTTGGGGTGATTGATATCCCCTCTTTCAACTCAGCCCTCCTCTCTAAATGGATTTGGAAAATGCTCGACAGATCCTCTTATCTAAGCGAAGTGTTTTTTTCCATTTATTCTAAAAATGAAGCTAATCCTCTGGCTATTCAACCAAAGATGTCATCCTCAAGATTTCTTCAAGATCTATTCTCCATCCAATCAACCTTCTTTAATATTGTGAGATGGAATGTGGGGGATGGTAAAACAGGCAGTTTTTGGCACGATAAATGGTCCTCAGCAAATTCTCTTAGCAGCCTCTACCCTCATGCATATAAGCTTGCTCTCACTAAAAACTGCAGCATTGGCTCTCAAGGCAGATGGATTAACAATACATGGTATTGGCATCCGTTAATTAGAAGGGGGATCTCCCCTAATGAAAGGGCAGACATTCTCAATCTTCACTCTCACCTAGAGCATATAAATCCAGGTGGCCCATCGAATCATGATGTCTTACAATGGCCTCTTCTCTCTACGGGTATTTTCTCTGTAAAATCCTTTTACACCTTTGTTTCTTCAGGGGGCCAAAAATCCAAGTTCTTCAACATGATTTGGAAATCCAACATTCCCTTAAAGGTAAAAGTCCACCTCTGGATTATTTCAAAAAGGAAGCTCAATACAAGAGACAATTTAATCAAAAAAGGATGGATCGGTGACCCTCTTTGCCCTTTTTGTCTTGGGGAAACTGAAACCCACGACCATATATTCATTCACTGCCCTTTCGCTAGTGATGTTTGGAATTTCCTTCTCCCCCTCTTTCCAGCTAACAGCTGGCCATCAACCATGGAAGACCTGCTGCTGCTTCACAAAGCCCCCAATATTTGCTCAGACATTAAAGCCACATGGAAGATTCTATTGCCATGTTTTTGTTGGAGGATCTGGTTTTGTAGAAATTCACTCATTTTCAAGGATATCCAGCCCATCCCGCTGCAAACTGCTTCTAATATAGCGAGGTTTTCTATTTTTTGGACATGTTCAGGAGATGATAGGACGGCGAGGAGGCTTCGTAGGGCATCTCTCAATCTCGGACTGCAGGAGTTAGCCAAGAAGAACTCCCCAACAGAGGCTGGGGACATCTTTTCCAGCATCTAAGCTTCATTGTCTCTTGTCCCAATATGAAGAAGAAGTTTTTGTTCAGTGAAGACGCCCCCCTTTTTGGTTAGATGCTAGCAGTATCATGCTTTGTCTAGTCATTATACATTAAGTGTGGTTGTTTTTATCCCCCTGTTGTTATGTCTGAAGTGTTTCTATCTTGCTGTAGGGGACAGTAGGTCAAGTGTGGTAGGTGACGACATTGGTCCGCTCCCTACTCACTTCTCCTACTGTGCTCTCTCCATCTAGAGATGTTGTAATCTCCTCTGTTGATACTTTTGCAATATATTTAAATGAACAGGGCTTTACACCCTGTTTCTCAGGTTCAAAAAAAAAAAAAAAAAAAAAAAAACGTCATTTTTAATAACCACCCCCCCCCCCCCCCCCCACCAAAAAAAAAAGGTAAAAAAAAAAAAAAAAAAAAAAAAAAACCCAGCGACTAGACCAACACTCTAAAGTTTAAAATTATCGTTCATAAAATCTTCTCGATGACTATTTCTCCTTTTCGGAATTTTTTAAAGCTCATGAGTTGTAAGATTTGTTAAGTATATAACAGAATTAGGAGTACATACACACACCATAAACACACAAGTCTACCCATCAACAAAATTTGGTGACAAACAAATCTTTCCTTCAAGGTTAAAGTGTGTAAGGACTTTCAGTGTAATCATTAGCTCTGCAAATTAAACTAAGTATGCCAAAAGTATATTATGTAACTAGTTAACTTATAAAAATTACTGTGGGTTCAAGATCCTAAAAGTAGTAATCTGTTTTTGGTAAGTGAAAAAAAAAATTATTCACTCACACCAAATATGAAAGTTTGAGTACACCGATCTAGCTCAGTTAAACTGCACTTAGAATAAGTGCTTAAACATCAAAAGAAACATAAAATTTACAAATTTATCAGTCTAAGTCTTTGTAATCGTGATGTAAAGAGCGATTCAGAACAATTACTGAGGTAGAGTATTTGATTTCATTGACAATCATATCCATCAAAAGAACCAAGTTACGGGTCGTCCTCCGTTCAAACTTTTGTTAAAATCAGAATATTGTGATTTTTAAAATTTATAGGGGTTATTTGTAGTTTTTAGATTTTTCAATGGGTTATTTATAATTTTTGAACTTTTGAGGAGTCATTTATTATTTTAAAATCTTAGGTATTTTTACAATTTTTATATTTTAAGGATTTTTTTGCAAGTTTAGATTTATTTTAGGGGGCTATACATAATTTCTTATTATTAGGAGTCTATTTGTAATATCCTAACTTGTCTGAGGCTTTATTTGTAATTTTTCAAAAATAAAAAGCGGTTGCTTGTAACTTTAGAATTTTCACAGCACGTTGTTTGTAATTTTAGATTTGTTAGGAATCTATTGGCAGTTTTCATATCTTTTTAGTGTTGTTTGTAATTTTAGATTTGTTAGGAGGCAGTTTTCATATCTTTTTAGTCGTTGTTTGTAATTTTATGTGTTAACTTACAAATAGGATAAATTTGAGTGTATACACTGGCTTGGAGCCCGGGTTAATTTTCATCAATATAACATTACAGGGTAAGGGAATTATGGAATTTAATCAAGTGCAAAAAAATCAAAATATTTTGGAGTTTTCTTAATCCTAAAACTTACTAGGGGTACTTTCAGTAAGTGTTGCAATTATTTTGGGGGTTTGTGTTAAATGCCCAAAGTAATGGGAGGTCTGTTGAAATTTACCCTTTAAAAGTTAAGGAGGGCTACAAGATAATTTCTCTAGATTTTTAATTATAAACGGTTATAATTTAAGTAGGATTAATAACTAAATTATGAATTGTTATAATTTAATTAGGATTAATAACTGCTGATATGAATAATTTGACTTAGATGATGATTCTTAGAAGACAACATTTTTGGTGTATGAATTAGTAGAATATCAGATTAGGTGTCCACGTGTCATCTTCTGATAGGATAGAGCGAGACATGACGCTTTTTAATTTGTCACACGTTAATTTTTTGGTGCATTTAGATACACGCCACGTTTTTGTACCTTGAGGAGTCTCACCAATTTCTCATTACTGAAATGAAAACCTAACAACTATTGAGGGGTGTTAGGGACACACCATTGGGCACACCACCAACCACACTTCCCATCTATCTACAGGGGCCTCACATGTGATTTTTTTTAAAAATCACATGTGGGGCCCCTGCACTGTAGATA